TACTCCATTTGCACCTCGAGCTTGTGCACCATCATGTAAAACTGGATCAGAAGGAATATCATCACCGAAGTACGTCGTCCAACCACCTGTGGAATTACCCTGTGGTATTATTCCACAAAGACCTGTAAAATTTACAATAAATTAGAACATTTCTGAAAAAATATGGCTTAGTTTAATTAGCAAGAAAAAACGTGATTACAAAATAAAATTGAATCAAATTTTAATGATAATCAACGACGGTCAAAAAAAAATTTTGCCATCAAATGCAAACTATCCAACAGTACTTTTAAGCCTAGCATCCAACGAGCTTGAACTGGAAACAAGATCTATAAGAAACTCACCCTGCATTTGCAAAGATGCAGCATACTCACTGATCGATGGAGGAACACCACGTAAAAGATCTGAAAGCAAGTCTGTTTTATCATTTGAATTTGAAAGTTTCAAAATCATATCTTATTGACAGATACAAAAAAAGTGTTTCTTGAAGAAGTTGTGAGAAAACTGTCAAATTAAAAGTTCAGGAAAAACTTTAAAAAGCTTTTGATGTTACCTATAGAATAGCCATCCTGAGGAAGTAAAAATGGCAGGTTTAATGTCAGCTGTTCTTCCAGCTGTATGCCTGTTCCATCTTGTCTAGCCATATCATCCGCTAACGTTTCTGCTAAACGAACAACGCTTTCTATAAGTTCTCTTCCAAAAGGTTCTTCACCAACATCCAATACAATATGTTCCAACAGATATCGGACCTAATAAAGTAGAAGTGTGGACAGCAGGGGTATCACCAAGTATTAAAATTCTTATAAACTCAAATACCACCAGCAAATAATACTGTAAAATAGAAATGGACCTGAATACTATTGAGTTTGTAACAAGTGGCCCCCAAATTTGCGATCTGATCCATTTTCTTCGGAATAGTCAACAAAGTTGCTGTCTGTTGAATCCTGTCCATATGGCACACAGCGGCAAGTTCAAGACCTTGCTTCTCTGCCCATTCATGAATTGCTCTCAGTCTTGCACGCATTCTTAAAATAATTCTTTTAAGCAGTGTGAGAAAGATATAAATCAAATTAAATAGGTTCAATAATCAGCACAGTTCCAGTTTTCAAACCACCATTCATACCATACAATTTCGGGGAAGCCATTACGAAGCAGAAAGCCTTCAGAACTTACCGCACACCAAAAGCGGTGCTGCAATAAGTGGCTCCTGAAGGCGAAACAAGCCAGTTGAAAAGATGCGCATTGATAAAGTAAAACAGCTGAGAAAATAACTGGATAGTAAGTGCGATGTTTAAACGACATTTCCTCAGAAGTCTGACAGTATCGTCAAGAACGCCGACTGTCTCATCTTAATTAAATGATTTATTTAATCACAGAGTCGTTCCAGTAAAATAAGCAATAATTACAGCAAAAAAAAAGATAAATAATCTAGAATTATCACACTCCAAAATTTTATTGACCTGTACAAAAGCACGCATAACTATTCTATATATCAGGTAAAATACTTACGGCAATTACTCATTTATGGTAAATAAAACCATTGAAAAAAACTAACTACACGCAGTCCTATCATTCAAACGAGTATCAATAAACGAATTGATAGTAGCACGAAGTTGGTCTTTTAGATTAACGCTTAAAAGATTGAAAGAATTCTCCACAACTTCGGCCATAAACTGCTGCGGCTCTCCAGCAGTAATTACGCTCAATTCTTTGTCCTAAAAAATTTCAAAAGAAAAAAGACAGGTTTTAAAAGTCTCTAAAAAACTAAAAGAAACTGCAAAGTGAAAATTTTTTGAGCGGGAAATACTTTATGTAAAAAAAACTTTAATTGAAATCCATTCCAAGCCTTCACAGTTAACATATTTTGGTCGTAATGCCCACCTGTTTCATGATATTCAAAAGCTCGCTAGAATTCGCTAACCAAAAAGCCAAAATGTCCTTTGGAAGCAAATATTCCTAAAAGCGCAAAATGCTTTTAAACCTTCTCAACAAATCCATTCGCTTAAACACTACAGAATATCAATTACCCTTATAATCATACGAAATCGCTCTACAACTTTGATAAAAAAGATTCGCACGCGTTGCTTCTTTTGGTCTTCGGAAAGACTATTACGGTAGTAGATAGAAAGATAAAATCGAGCTGCCATATACACTAGAAATGCCGGTCCCAATTGGAACTGCAGCCGTTTAACTTCATTACTGATTACGCGCCTTAGGAACTCATCTTCAGCTGAAATGAAAATATATTTTGGTATTGAGGCTGAAAACCTGTCACTTACACACACAAACTACTTTTTAAACATTGTTGCTACGAAGAGGAAGCTACTTACATAAATGCCACTTGGTGCAAAAAAAACAAATTTAGCTCACTCATTTCAGTAATTTCAATTAACGCTGGTATAGAAGCTTTCATAATAACTGAACGATTTGTAGATGACATAGAAGGCGCAGGGGATGCTACATTTTCTCTGCTGGGGCGCCTGTTAAATAACCTGAAGAAATTTATACGCATATTATTCTCTAAAATAACAACCTCTGCCTTTAGCCAGAGTTTCACATACCAGTGACCTTAGAATTTTTGCTTTCTTTTTCCTTAACTCTTCAATATACAAAAAGAAAAATAATCACAAAACAGAAAGCAAAATAAAAGAAACAAGGGAAGAGAAAACAGCGAAACAGATACAATATCCTTATGGAATTTCAGATTAACATCTTCACATACGAGATATGCTAAACAGGAGTCCTATCTATCTCATTCAAGGTACAATGGGATGTGCTTACATACTACGAAACGCATCTGATGAAAAAGAAGGCAATTTCCGACTATTAGTTGCATTCTCATCGTCATCCAGTAAATCTCCAGTTGAACGATATAGTTTACTACTGCTCCTTTTTAATTTTTCATTTGCAATAGTTCGACGAATATCAGTAGACGATCGACGAAACGATTCGTCTCGAAAAAGCCTGTTTCGGTAACGATCGATTGTAGAGAATACATTACCATCAACGTCAAACGTTGTTCCCATTAGTAGTTGTAATTTCTTGAATCACATAAAATATATGATTCAAACCAATGTCTCGATAGCAGATAATTTATTCAGAAAATAAAAACAGGATTCAAGTAATATACAGCTTTATGCAAAACAACGGCTGTCTAAATGCTAACAAAAACCGTATCATACGCGTAATTCGTTAAACACACCTCAGTGAGAAAGACAAATAAATAAACAACATCTAACGTATTCTTAAGTAACCACCATCACTACCAATGTTATTTTGTGCATAAAAGTTTGACGAACAACACACACGACATCCACTTCAGATGAAAGACGAAAAAATTTTAATATAAAAGTCATTATTTACCCACTGCAAGTTAAAAATGAAATAAGTGAAATAAATCGTAGACCAAAAAAGACTTAACTTCATTTTTCAGCTTTCAAATTAGGCTCGGGTGACCTCCGCAAAAAAATAACCAAAAAGTTGAATTCATATTTTCCGCATAAAGCAGTTTTACAGTTACCTAGACATCACTTTTGGTAAACTACGCAAACAATTATCACCCTAGAAAAAAAGTCCGCTAAGACTAAGTCAAGAAGAAAGGTAAGAAAAATCTGGTAACACATCACCTCTGAAAAAAAACTGTTTCATCCATTTACCATTAATCCATTTTTTTATATCCCTCAAATCTTCCGCTAAATTAATAAACTGTACATTATTTCCCCAGGTCTAAAAGATCGCAGAAAAGTACCTTCTCAGCTTTTCAACTTTTGAGCCAAATGACGCAAAAATGAACAAGATACCCAAGTAATCATTTAATTTTATGGCAAACGCTGCCTGTGAAAATCAGGAGTACCACTGAATCACAAAAAAAAAAAAAAAAAAAAAAAAAAAAAAAAAA